AACTTCTGCAGGAAAGCCATTCCACAGTCCGGGTCCTCATTTCACCCACCTTGGAAGGCTGAGTCGACCTTGAGCCGGTGAGATTTGAACCGCTGAACTGCAGATCACAGTCAGCTAAATTCGGTTAGCCTAAAGACTAACCGAATGCAAACACTGCAAACTGTTCTTCATATGTTTAATCTCCAGGCCTTCAATCATTTTGCTGCTTTTCTCTGAATTTTTTTCAACATCTTTTTTTGGGGGGGGGGTTCCCTCCTTGGGGCTGGTCCCCTTTCAGTGGTTTACGACGAATGGGCCGTGCCTAGGAACCTATTGTCATTGGGGGAGAGCCGCTCACAAGGCCAGCATCCACTTCCTCCGCATGGCCTATGCTTTGCTCCAAAGGCACATGGTTCCTGGAGTCCGCCCGATTGGGAGCTTTGACACTGGTTACTACTTCCTGGGGAGTTTGGGGGGGGGGCATTTTATGGATGGGTGCTTTGCAGTTCCGGTTGTGCCCGGCCGTCTGTGTCGTCGTCCCCCAGCATGGAAGGAGGGTGGGCTTTGGTGGTGGGAATTTCTGCCCGGTTTTCAAGGGCGCATTGATAACATTATTAAATTAATAAATTTTTTATATTTCAAATATTGTTGCTTCCTTTTCTCGTTTTTTTTTTTTCACTTACAGAATGCAGTTCAGCCCCAATGCTCTTCAGTAATCTGAGGTTGGAATCTGAGGTGAAGCCAGGATCAGGGGTTGAGGGGTCCTTGGTGCTCTCTAACCTGGGTGGTTTTCATGACCCAACTAAGGAACATCATTGGGGACCTACTAATTTGGGGCATGAAACCTCCACAAGAGAACCGGGAGCGAGGCAGCAAGATTTACTTCATGCCCCAAAACAGACGGACACTTTGATTCCCACAAGGGACGAAGGGCTGCAGAAGTTGGTGGAGTTACCAGAGAGGCTGAATTTGATTAAAGAAAAATAACACAAAATACTTTTGTTTCTGGACTTTGTTTCTCGAGGTGGGGGGAAAAAACCCAAAACTTTGATTTTGGGTTTTACCAATTTAGATAGGTTTGTCTGTTACAGAGCAGGCTAGCTTATATTACTATGCAAAACTAAAAAGTTGACATTTGATGCTATTGTCTTTACTGCCCCAAAGGGAGTAAATGCCTTTTCTCTCTTTTTCCTACACTTTTTCCTTCCCACCTCATCTCTGGAGTATGGAGTAGTTTATTTATATGCCGCCCTTTTCCCTGGGGGGACTCAGGGCGGCTTACAATTCGAAAGGAGGGGAAAACAAACAGATTAACACATAAGACAGTACATCATTAAAAGCACAACATTCATACTATGTTTATGTATTAAATAATATTTCTTATTCTTGTTATTTTGCTGCTTAACTAACAGCTGCTATGAAATAGTCCTTTGTAAGAAGAATTGGAATGTCATAAGAAACTAAATGTACCTATTAGAAGAAAGTGATCATGTGGAGGAACAGTGGTAAACTTTTGCCATTGTTGCTGCCTGAGGAAAAGAGTAGGTATGAGTCAACATCACAAATACGTTTTACAATAATGCACCAAAATAAAATAGCCTTAACCAATCTGTCATCTTTAAAAGATGTAGTACTCCAACTCCCACTTGCCAGCTGCACTCATCACATCTAAAAGTTTTGAGTTTGGTGTGATAAAGCACTGAAGGGCAGTGACACAAAGACAAAGGAATTACTAATGCAAGGAACTGTTTTGCTAAATTTCATTCCCAGCAGGGTTTCTGAAAGCCAGCAACTTAACAAAGGCATAGAAATAAGCTTCATACGGTTAAATCCAGCACATGTCTTCCTGCTTTAAAGATGAAGGAAACACCTGCTTAGGAAATCATTCAAAAAAAAAAAACCATCACAAATA